GTTAACTCTCGACTCTAAATTGCCTGCAAGGTCAATGGAAGAATGATGTCAAAATTTACGGTCTTGACTTAGTTACAGATAATAATATGTTAATTGCTATGCAACGTCAGTTAGAAAACATAATTATAACATTTCAAAGTCTTAAATCTTATCTTCTCGCTCGGACTGAGTTGCTTTTCGCAAAGATATTTCTCGACTGTAACAAGAGGTTGAAATGCGATGCGTGGCTTGACAGCAATGAAATCCGGCTGAGTTGGAGAGGTCTAATCGTATTTAAATTTTATAATATTAGAAAACTGCTCTTCGTTCAAGAAAGTAATATTTTTAAAAGTAGCTCCACAGAACGATATCTTGGGATGATAATATCGCTATTTTCAGCTTTAGGCTCTGACACTCAGGAGTCAGCATTTCCATGTGGTCAAGCTCATTTTTTTTTTACATAGACTGTACTAAACAGAGCTTGCAGCAGAATATTAGCCATGAATCGCTTAATATTATTTAAGCAGAGATTGAGTTTGTATACAGGTACTTGTATTGAGCAGGGTGCTGAACAATTGCACGGCTTAAGGCGAAACCAGTATCAACCGGCGTTGCCTAACCGTAAAATGTAGCAATTTTATTTGCGTTATTCTTGCCAAATTTAGCAAAGTTACGTATGCAGCGATAGCAGCCCGATTGTTAATTCCCACTAACTAGCTGAAAACGTTATTACATAGAGAGTTAAGCACAGACACTATGAATATCGAGGAAGTAAAGTACTTTCAAATTTCCCTGAAGAGTTTGATGACCGACGATATTTCTGTTCTTCTGTGTCATAAATGAATTCCATGTAAGTATTTTTAAATAATTTTTCCGACGAATTCAGTTGAAGATAATACAATATTGATTACAATTTCTTTTATTTTGTGTCTTAAGTTACATGGAGCGTCTGGTGCTGGTTTCTGCGCCTGTCAATTACATTTTTAACAATTTCTGAGTTCAGCTCATTTTTCAGCTTCCAGTAACTTTCGCCGAATTCAGATCTCACTGAGCTGCCAGTTAAAACTACTGAGCAATTCAATTCTTAGCTATTACATCCATCCCATCCATATGAAGTGATGAACAAGAACAAAAATATTGCCATCTAATAACCTCAGTGTTCAGCAAGTAAGTGGGAACAATCGAGCTGCTATCGCTACATCGTAACTTTACTAAATTTGTCTCAAAAATTAAAAACGCAAATAAATCTAAATTTCCCTGAAGGGTTTACGGACGCAATTTCTGTTCTTCCGTGCCATAACTGAATTCCATGAATGACCTTGTTAACAATATTTAATTTTGCGACGAATTCAGTTGAAGATAAGTCAATACTGATTACAGTTTATTATATTTTATGTTTAAATTAAATACATGTATTGCTTTTATACACCAATCAATGTGAACGGGCCTACGACATGCATCGTTAACTATCTTCCCGTGAATATTTTCTTTCCGTTTAAATCAGTTAGATGCTATAATCTTGGATGTAGAGTATGCAGCTACACCGGTCTTAAACCTATTTAGCCGTCAACAAACAGAAATCCTAGAGTGCTATAATTTCTCCATTATAACCAATTCCTGAGTCTGCCAATGTTCTGCCAAAGACTTAAAATTTACTTTGTCTGCAAGTTTGTCACATTTTCTTGTGATATAAACAGAGCCAAATACTTCCTTATACAATGTGCCCTCTCCTTTTCAGTCCTGGCCCACACGTTTTTCATTTCCAAGAAAGAGTAATTTATTCACAGTAAATTTATAAGAACCATTAAGTGGAATTATCAAGCGGTCTTCGCATTTTCTTGACTTTCTTCGCAAGACGGTGGTGCAGAAGTCGTGTTGTCCAAACTCGATTCCTTCGCGTCACGTGGTACAACTTCAATGCTTGCTTGCAAATTTCCTATAACGTTATTATTGTCAACCGCTTCTTCGTATGAAGGAGGTACCATTTCTTTGCAAGATGATTCCGACGGTGTTTTGACTTCGAAGTGATGAATCGGTCCCAGCTGATCGTTAGAGCCAGCGCTTAAGGCAGTTCTATTGGCGTAGCGTTCTGCTGCGATCACAGCCTCTTCGCAAATTGTGTTTTCAACGAGCTTGTCTTGGCGTGAACTCCAGATTGTAATGAAAAGTAGTAGCAATCCGCCGACAGCTACGATCACAGGACCAGCAATTTTACAGCTTTTTAAGGAAGCAGTGTTACCCACTATTATTAAAACAGAACCAGCTATGACAAAAATAAGAGGAGTTAAGCGGAGCAGCCGGCTGAGTTTGTCTCTACTGGTTAACCTGTGCATCTTTCGTTTCTCTGTGATGACCAGTCAGCTCGATGGAGAGAAGAGATTATTTGTCGTGTTCCTTCGAGAAAAGAAGAGCAGAATGTCAATTACGTTTAGAGGTGTTTTTCCTTTTGTTGATGTTTTGATCGTTATTGCTGACGTTTATGGTTAATTAGTCCCGTCTAGCTGTCATGCATAAGAGATGATCGTAGATATTGGATAGGTTTTATACATAAACAGTCTTAAAACTTGAAACGCGGTTATGGTTTTATGTTGCTTCTGGCACAATTTGAGGCAGAGAGTATAGATACTTTGCACTGTCTCGTCGTTTTCAGGAATGGCTGGGACGGATACTCCGTATTTTACTTTGCTTTGATCACGGTGGCACAACCTCCTGAAGCACAAAATTCAACTGCTCGTTAGGCGCTCGTTTGTTGACGTCACTCCATTAACAACTTAATTAGGCAGAGTGGAATCTCAGCCTGAGGACAAATTTACTCATTCATCAACTGTCAGGGTCAGATTTTAGCATATTGTTTTTCTACAATTCGTATGCGCAAAAACTTGTAACGTAGATAATGAGAGAACTGAAATAACTATGTTTGAGAAAGTTCAAGTAAAGGAGACGATGAAGGAAGGAAGGAACTTGGCGGGGTGGAGAAGTGACAAATTTGATCAGTAGCTTTGAACACTAGAGATCGCAGTCCAAAACCTATTATTTTATGGATTATTTCAAGTTTAAAATCAAGTTATATTTCCCTTTTGAATAAAACGCCGAAGCAACCGTGTTCTATGGGTCTTCTATCAGTGGACAGCATAACCCACTGACTGTAACTATCAGTTAAACGTGCTATCTGATTGGCTGCGCTGGCGCTGTTCAACGATCGATAGACTGCAGCAAGTCCGACTTGACATCAACTTCGCTTTTTCGTGAAGTTTCTAAACGAAAACTAAGTTTTATTTAAAAGATTGATTAGTGGGTTCGGCTGGAACAATTATCAGACGGTTTCGCCCTTGGTGTCTATCCACGTTGAAATATTAGGCTCAAGGCTTCAGCACTCGCCAACTAACGGCCGATAGAAACTTCGAACTCGTCGTCCAATTGTTAAATAGAAAACGTTCACGGGAGAATCAGTCAGACTCGCTAATTTTATAATTGCATATACTGCGTATCTGCAAGAGCTAATATATGAGCCGTAGTATAGAGAACCGACTTTTCCCTTATTGTTCACCATGTTCGTCTTCTCACTCCGCGCAAACAGAACCGGATAAAACGCTAATCAAACCTAGTGTTCTTTGCACCAACTAATTCAGCCATGAGAACCTAGACACAAGTTCCATGAAAGTGAACTGAACCATGATGTTTCTACTAACTGGGCCATAAAGACCCTGGGAGCATTGTTAAATAAACTTGACTGTTATACTTACCAGCTCTAACTGTGTTGGTTTGCTACAGAGTCAAATATTCACTTTTTTCCGGGTGTTAAATAGCCACGCAAATGGGCGGCTACGTCAAACACGGCAATGAATTGAAATAATAACAATAACACGATTGAGACACAGAAACTTAACAGACGTCACCGGAATACATGCTTTTGCTTGAACAGAAATGATGCAACTGAAACTTCCGCTGTTGTCGCTGGAAGTTCAAAGTTGTAAGATCATAGATTTGGCAGTACGTTTTACTTGCTTTACTTCATGAGCTATATGTATGTCAAAGGCTAATCTTCCCACCCAAGATTTTCTCACCCTCTTCACAGTGATTGAACATTAAACTCGTGGCTTTTGTCTGTACTTCGTGTTTATCTCAGTTTCAGTTCAGTTGCCTCACGTTAATTGATTGGTTCGCGCGCCGTGCGGTAGTAAGCAGAATTCAATTAGCGAACTATCGCCCCAGGTAACGCTATCATTTGCGAGCCGAAAAATGAGCGAAAGTTTGGTCAAAAAGTTTGACAAAGAAAGTTCGAATGATCACAACCCTTGTTTTAAATCTGGCTGTATTAACGGGCCGTATTAAAGGGATTCTTTAAGTAAAGAAAATGACTGACTGAACTTTCGCTCGCGGCCAAGAACATGCCAAGAATTGAATAAAGTGGTCGTAAATAACGAGATGGCCGTATTATCGTGGTGGCCGTAAGACGGGGTTCCACTTTAAAAAATTCGACGGTAAAAAAGTGTACGAATCTACGTGACGTTTGAAGTAAAGACTCAGGAAAGCCTGACTGGTTTTAACGGTTAGTTATTCTACGGTTGTTAAAATCGTTCTCATCGCGGTAAATAACGCGACAGTTCAATATCCGTTGCAGATTGCATGGGTGCGTCTGAAATTGTAAGGTTGTTCACGTGGTACACACAAATGCACCTCGTGTTGCATGTCAAATTACTGTGAAGTGCGGTGTGAAAACAATCTTAAGCGTTGTGTTGGTGAAAGTAGAAGTGGCACTGATCTTCTTTGACACAACTTTGCTTGGCTGATATGATTATTTGTGAAATGGAGTTCGACTTTGCTTTTTGATGAAGTTTCTAAAAAAATGCAAGTTTTATTTGATTGATTGATAAGTGCATTATGTTAGAACAATTAGAAAGCTTGCTCCCAGTGGCTATCCACTTTGACGGTAGTAGGCTCGGCGCCTCACCACTCGCCAGCCAACAGCCATAGCAACCAATTGTTGAACAGAAATTAAAACAATTGCCGGTCGGGCGAATCAGTCAGACTCGAGAATTTCACTGCTGAATAAGCTGCGTGCTTACAAGAGCGAACAACATGAGCCGTACTGAGCCAACTCTGTCATGGAAATCTGATTTTTCTCTTATTGTTCACATTTGTTCGTCTTCTCAGTCCGCCCAAACTGAACCGGATAAAATGCGGATCGAAGGTAGTGATCTTTGCACCAAATAATTCAGCCACTAAACCGCAACTTAAGTTCCATGCTTTAGCTACTAACTGGGCCATGAAGACCCTGGGAGCATTGTTAAACTGACTGTTTTACTTACCCAATGTGGCTGTGTTTGCTCGCTACAGAGTCAAATATTCGAAATAAAAAGGAATAAGTTGCAAGCCGTGTTCAGCTTCTGGCAGTTTCATTTTCTTCATCAGTATTTTCTGCGTATTTAATAGCCGCAAATGAGCGGCTACGTCAAACAAAGCAATGAATTGAAACAGTCACACGATTGAGACACAGGAACTTAACAGACGCCACCGGAATCATGCTTTCGCTTGAATGATGCAACTCTAACTTCCGCTGTTGTCGCTAGATTCAAGATCATAGATTTGGCAGTACTTTTCAGTTGCTTTACTTCATGAATGTATGTCAAAGACTACTCTTCAGTCCCAGTTGACCGCAGCACACAAGATTTTCACACCCTGTTAACAGTGATTGAACATAATTCACGTGGCATTTTGGTCTCTTTGTGAATACCTCAGTTTCAGTTTTGCATCACGTCAGTTAATTGGTTCGTACCCTTGGGGAAATAAGCATAATTATTACACGACTAAGTTAATTCAGAGGGCCAATAACTAAAATCAACCAATCAGATTACCTCATTGCCGGTCCAATATTACCTCAGTATTGGACCAGGCACTGCCTTGAATGATCCCGCACGACCATTCTTTAAGATTGTTTGGTTGTTTCTTAGCTTACGTATATACGTCTCATAAAGAACTTGTTTTCAACATAATAGATTCGTCTTTTCCTATGTCAACTAGCGAAATATCGCCTCAGGAAACGCTAACATTTGCGAGATGAAAAATGATTGGAAGTTTCGTCAAAACACTTTAACGAAGAAAGTTTGAAACAACAACCCTTTTTCAACTATGGCCGTATTAACGAGGT